GCGGCTGCTGGCTGCTCACGCTGGCTGCTGGCTACACACGGTAGCCCATGGCAACCCACTGCAGCAGGGGCTGCAGCCTACGACGTCACTTGTGACTCACGGCAGCCCAGCTCCAGGTTGAGCTGTTGTTCAGCATCTTAGCTGTAGAGGGTAGTGTCACTGGCCCTCATATGTGGGATCCGAACTAGGGCCCTCTGGCGTCCCAAGCCAGTTCTTAACCATCGCACCACTCGGCTGGTCCCTGGTCAAATGATTTTTGACAAAGGTGCCAACACCACTCAATGAGGAAAGGACAGTCTTTTCAACAAATGGTGATTGGAGAACTGGACATCCACGTGTAAAAGAACGAACCTTTCCTTATATCATACAGAAAAATACATTCAAAAATGGATCAAATCAGAGACAACAGACTAAAACCCCAAGACATGTGCTGAGGAGAGGACTTTGACCTCCAGCTGCACCCAGAACCAAAGTTGTCTCACCACCCACCCCAGCAACCAAAGGACTGGGGCACACCAGAACTTGATCTCTAGAACCCTTTCAGAAGCAAACGGGTCACTGTCCAGGAAGATCCGGTACCGAAGCCCCTTACCTAAATGCCCAAGATCCTCTAAACTTGCCCTGCCAGCACTTCTGCATACTTGTTCCTCTAACCCCTTAAAAACCCGCCCCCCCAAGAAACAAAAAAACACCCGCCCGAAACCCTGGATCAGGGAGATTGATTTGAGCTGCTTCTCTGGTCTCCTTGTCTGGCTGACTGTGACAAATAAATCCTTTTCTCTGCTGGGGAGGGAGGACTCAAAGACCTAAATGTTAGAGCTAAAACTTACAAAACTCGGTCAGCCAGTTAGCTCAGGTGGTTAGAGAACAGGCTCATAACACCAAGACTGCCGGTTTGATCCCCACATCGGCCATGGAGCTGTGCCCTCCATAACTAGATTGAAGACAACTACTTGACTTGGAGCTGATGGTTCCTGAAAAAACACACCATTCTGCAATAAAATTAAAAACCAAAAAAAGTACCACAAAAAAAAACATTAAAAAAAAAACTTATAGGGCCGGCCGAGTGGCGCGATGGTGAAGAACTGGCTTGGAATGCCAGAGGACCCCGGTTCGGATCCCACATATGAGGGCCAGTGACACTGCCCTCTACAGCTAAGATGCTGAACAACAGCTCAACCTGGAGCTGGGCTG